CTATCAGAACAGAGAGAAAATCGACTCCTAAGTTTGGGTGATGGCAAATCACCCAAAAAGTTTGGGTGATGGCAAGGATTTTCTTTTCTCCTTCACCCTGACCCACTAATTACAAAGATCCTTTCTCTACCAGGGAAGAGAACTAAGCAGCTGGTGTAACATCGGGGCTCCTAGCTGTAGTTTTATGCATAAAGATCTTCCTAGGCTGAAAATTCCTTGATAAAATGAGACCAGTGTTTCTCTTCTTCTAGTACTTGATTGTCTAATGGACTTGGTCTTAATTCTTCTCCTTCATTTTCCTCCTCACTTCTTTCTCCTGGCTTCCATTTTGCTTTTCTGTTTTCTGTTTTTGTAGTAATGATTTCATATTCAGAGGTGTTCTGTAGCGTTGCTACTCAAAGTCTGGTTGTATTTATTACCTATGGGTTTTTTTTTAACGTAACTAGTTGAATTGTAGGTTTCTAAAATTTAATTTTAATTACACCTGTATTTAACAACTGGAGCCAAATATCCTGTTAATCAGCCCTCATTAGTCAGTAAAACTGGCCCTAACAGACCCCTAGAAAAAGGGCATTTTCAGTAGAGACGGGGTTTCACCATGTTGACCAGGATGGTCTCGATCTCTCGACCTCGTGATCCACCCGCCTCGGCCTCCCAAAGTGCTGGGATTACAGGCTTGAGCCACCGCACCCATCATTCTCAGCAAACTGACACAAGAGCAGAAAATCAAACACTGTACATTCTCACTCATAGGCGGGTGTTGAACAATGAGAACACAAGGACACAGGGAGGGGAGCACTACACACTGGGGTCCGTTGGGGGAAAATGGGGGAGGGGCGGGGGGTGGGGAAGTGGGAAGAGATAGCATGGGGAGAAATGACAGATACAGGTGAGGGGACGGAAGGCAGCAAACCACACTGCCATGTGTGTACCTATGCAACAATCTAGCATGTTCATCACATGTACCCCGAAACCTAAAATGCAATAAAATAAAATAAAATAAAATAAATATTTACTCATAAGACTGCAAGCAAAGATAACAAGTAGATAAATAAAATATAAATTTGCTCTATATACAACTCAACATTTTAGGAATAAGACATGTACACTATACATTATAGATCAAGAAATTAAATCTCTACAACAATAATTCCCCCAAAAGTGTAAATTCAGGTATTTAACTTTAATGCTAACTATTTATTTATTTATTTATTTATTTATTTATTTATAAGTTCTGGAATACATGTGCAGAACAGGCAGGTTTGTTGCATAAGGTATACATGTACCATGGTAGTTTGCTGCACCCATCAACCTGTCATCCACATTAGGTATTTCTCCTAACACTATCCCTCCCCTAGCCCCCAACCCCTTGACAGGCCCCGGTGTGTGATGTTCCCCTCCCTGTGTCCATGTGTTCTCATCATTCAACTCCCACTTATGAGTGAGAACATGTGGTGTTTGGTTTTCTGTTCCTGTAGTTTTAACTATTTAAATCTTAACATGTCTTGATTATATGCATTACAGTGCTGCCTAAGCCTTATATAAAATGTAAGATTTGCAAAATTTATGTCTACTTGTTAATGGCTGTCTATAATCAAAGACAAACCTCTCAGCGTTTAGCTTTGAGAAGGGAATGCAAAAAGAAACATAACTCATATATTTATACACTTCCTATCAGATATTTCCCCCATTGGGCAGAAATCAGAATCTGTATGTATGTAAATTAAATGGTCCATTAAAATGTTTTAAAGCCAAAAAAAAAAAAAAAAAAAAAAAGGTGGCCATTCTTCAGGCTGGGAAGCTTGCCTCATTCAAAGACTGGAGACAGGTGCTTCAAAGGAGGAGGGGTTGGGGAAACAGCTTTATCCTGAAAAGGCTGGTTAAATATATATATTCAACAGGTTATAGGAGGAGCTATGAATATTCATAAAAGTGGTTCTGATGCATATGTATTAAATAAATGTGCATGTTAACATATGACCCTATGTTCACTTTAGGATGATTTAACATTTAAATGTATTACAATTAAGTCCTATATATCAAAAGGTCCTTTGAGAACATAAAGTATGCAAGTGCACAACCTCTGTCAACTGGCCAGAAACAGTCCATGGTCGGTGGTCGTCTTATCACCTGGTGTTGCAGGGGTCAGTTAGTCAGAGCCTGTGAGCTGGATGAGCTCTAATTGTCATAATATTGCTTATTTCTAGCCAGTGCTTGTTAAGCTGCTAGAGAAAAAGGAAAACTTCCTAGCAAGGTTAGAACATAGTTTCTTTTTTTTTTTTTTTGAGACGGAGTTTCACTCTTGTTACCCAGGCTGGAGTGCAATGGCGCGATCTCGGCTCACCACAACCTCCGCCTCCCGGGTTCAGGCAATTCTCCTGCCTCAGCCTCCTGAGTAGCTGGGATTACAGGCACGCGCCACCATGCCCAGCTAATTTTTTGTATTTTTAGTAGAGACGGGGTTTCACCATGTTGACCAGGATGCTCTCAATCTCTTGACCTTGTGATCCACCCGCCTCGGCCTCCCAAAGTGCTGGGATTACAGGTGTGAGCCACCGCGCCCGGCCAGTTTCTTCTTTAAACGTAGGGGTGTATGACTTAACCCTTGTCTGGCATTGCCTTAGGTTCTATTTATAATTTAGTATGTTACTGCCATGAGGAGTCTGTTCTGTCAATCAATGGGTTTTTTTTGTTTTTTGTTTTTTGTTTTTTTTTTTTTTTGAGAGGGAGTATTATTCTCCACCTAGGGTGGAGTGCAATGGTGCCATCTTGGTTCACTGCACCCTCCGCCTTCCAGGTTCAAGCAATTCTCCTGCCTCAGCCTTCCAAGTAGCTGGGACTACAGTCACCCGCCACCACGCACAGCTAATTTTTGTAGTTTTGGTAGAGACAGAGTTTCACCATATTGACCAAGTTGGTCTTGAACTCCTGACCCCAGGTGATCCACCCACTTCAGCCTCCCAAAGCACTGGGGTTACAGGCATGAGCCACTGCGCCGGCCTGTTCTGTCAATCTTCTGGTCTCTATTTTAACATATGCTAATAAGTTGTTGTGTCTAAACCACAAAAGAAAGGGGATATAAAAAAACAAAGACATGTCTGACCTCTCCTTCCATCAGAGCCAGGAACTTGGTTTTTAACTTTTTCTAGGGTCCTCTTGGCTCAAAGGATGTCTGCTCCGTCTATGGTGGGCTTAGGATTTTATTTTAGTTTACACACTGCAGTTCTAGGGTGCTGCAAACGAATCCTGCATGACACACTTGGGTACCACCTACTCGTTCTCAGCAAATCTCTGTTCACAGAGAGCCTTAAAATAAAATAAAATAAAGGTGGTGAGCAGTATTTTACTCTTGCAATTCTACTAACATCCATTGAATTTGCTTAAAAACATTTTATTGGTATTGTGCTGGAATATTCTAATTGAGAATTTCCCCCAGTTTCCAATTAGGACATTCCGTGTGATTTATGACACCCATGACTATCAGAGATGTTCCCCCAACACCATTTTCGCCTTGTTTCAACTCTTCATTCAATAAATCTTTAATGTTTCTTGCACCATAGTTATATATTTTGAGTTGAATTTCATTTCCTCTTCTTTCCTCTTCCTTAATTTTAGTAAAAGGAAAATTGACAGCAACATCCAATATAAGAATGAAGTGAGTTTAAATGCTGTAAGTAATCGGCTTTCTATCATAGAGCTGAGCATTAGTTTTCCTGGAAGGAACCAGGATTTTTTTCACCTCCAAGAATCCTCAGCTGTACTTTCCTGGTGTTGTGGAGACATGGGGAAACTGAGTCAGACCCCTTGTTCCCCATCCTACCTTCATTAACCAGCTCCCTGATGACCTTGGAAAAGTCATTCAACTTCTCCAAGCCTAAGAAAAGAATTGATAGAAGAATTCTAAGATTCCTTTCAGTTCCTGTTTTAATTCTTTAAGAAAAATAAAAGTAAATTAAGGGCCGGGAGCGGTGACTCACGCCTGTAAATCCCAGCACTTTGGGAGGGCTGAGATGGGCAGCCTCAAGAGGTCAAGAGATAGAGACCATCCTGGCCAACATAGTGAAACCCCATCTCTCTTAAAAATACAAAAATTAGCTGGGTGTGGTGGCGCACGCTTGCAGTTCCAGCTACTCGGGAGGCTGAGGCAGGAAAACCGCTTGAACCCAGAGGTGGAGGTTGCAGTGAGCCGAGAGCGCACCACTGCACTCCAGCCTGGCAACAGAGCTGGACTCCCTCTCAAAAAAAAATAAAACAAAAATTAAGATTAAAAGAAAATATCCAGAAAAGACAAACTTGTTGCTCATTTGAACAGTCTTCCTGGTCTGCCTTTTTTGATGGATAACACCTTCTTGATTTAATTCTCTGCTAGAAATATGCACAGCCATGCTCTTTCCATACAGCCTAACAGCTCATAAAATGCACCTGCCATTAAAATGATTTGCGTGATCCATTTGGCGGCTACTGAGCTGTTGATGGTCCTAACTATCTGGTTTTCTTCGTCGTGTGGGTTTCTGTTTATGCGACCGTCTTTCTGAGGTCACCCTGTGTGTGCCACTGCCTTCTGGTGCTCTCCTCTGGCCCTCGAGAACCGTTTCTGCGACTGGACACCTGCCTCGCCTTCCACACGGTCGCCTTCCACACAGTACCGACCTGTCTGAAAACAAGGGTGTGGCCCAGGCAGCAGGGGTAGGGGCGTGTCACACACACCGTGCCTTACAAAGGGGAAAAATTAGAGGTTCCCGCGAGATGCTTGTGACTCTGGTACTTTTAGAAGTACCGCAGCCAGGCAGCGGGCCTTCCTCCGGCACCTCGCTCTGGATAGGGCTGCCATTTGCATCCTAGCTGTGATTTAGACGCCTCCAACCTTCTAGTTTTCAGTTAACCAGAGCCCTATCGCCGCCCAGATCATCCCAGGTCCCCATGACGTCGTTTATTGTGGCAACCATGCCTGGCGACTGCCCAGAAACCCAGTGCGTCCTGCCCAGTGTTTAAGCGCGAGAAGTGGCAGAGGCAAGTGGCGGCCAAGCGCAGGAGCAGGGGCAGGGGCAGGAGCGGGGGCGCAGGAGCGCCGGCCGGGAGCTCTCGCAAGGGGCGCACCGCAGCCAAGCCCGCAGAGGAGGAGCGCACCGGCGCGGCATGGGCTGCGGACCTTCCCAATCCGCTGAAGACCGGAGACGTGGCCCCACGCCCAGGAAGGGCTGGGAAGAGGGATTCAAGGTAAAAAAGAAAAATGAAAAAAGAAAAAGAAGGAAAGAAAATAAAATAAATAAACAAACTGACAGACATAAAGCCTTTTGCCTGGGAGGCCTCGCGATTCCCACTCTAGGGGGCAACAGGAGTGGGCTGGAGCAGGGTGGGTCAAGGTCCACAGCCAGCCTAGTGAGCAGGTGAGAGCAACTTTATTCTGCCCGTGTTTAACTGCTGTCTTAACCAGGACTAGATAGAAAGATGGACAAATATCAAAATCTATCTATATCGATAGAGAGTATAGACACAGATACATGGCTTTAGGATCAATTTTGAGAGCCTTTAGTGTTTAAAGAGATTGTGCAGGTGGTCCCACCCCCGGGCAGAGGCAAGGAATAACGGGATGAGCAGTGTGCTCTGCACAGGGCTAGGGTTGACCTTGATTGTCCAGGGAAGGTTGGAGTCCCTAGGAACTGCCATATATTACAGGCCTCTGGAAAATAGGCCCTTTGGTAGTTACTTAGAGCTGGGAGAGATCTCAGAACCCATCTAACTGCGTCCTCTCGATTCATAGATGAGAATCGTGAGGCCCAGAGAGATAGATGACTTGCCTGAGGATGCACAGCTAGCTTGAGGGCATGGCGAGGGTAGAATTTAGTTTTCGAAAGTTTTGTTCCAGTACTCTTTTCCATAATTCCTCAAAGTTGCATGCCCTGTAATTCTTCTGGAGACATGATGGGGAATTTTTTTCCAGAGCAAAACCTAGAGGGATGAGTTGGTTGAGGCAGAAATAAAGTCCATGATCTTTCTTTCTCTCTTTCTCGTTCTCTCTTTCTTTTTTCTTCTTTTCTTTCTTAGATGGAGTTTCACTCTTGTTGCCCAGGCTGGAGTGCAAGTGCAATGGCGGGCTCTCCGCTCACCGCAATCTCCGCCTCCTGGGATTCAAGCTATTCTCTCGTCTCAGCCTCCTGAATCGCTGGGATTGCAGGCGCCTGCCACCACGCCTGGCTAATTTGTTGTATTTTTAGTAGAGACAGGGGTTGCATTATGTTGGCCAGGCTGGTGTGAGCCGCCACGCCCGGCCCAAGGTCCAGGATTTATTTGTGTCCTTACCACCCTCCAGATTCCATAGAGAGCGCTGGCAACCCTCAAGGGTCCATTTCAGAGGGGCCACATCCAAAGATGAGGCTACCATGTAATTTATCATCAAAATCATGCTTTTAAGAGTGAAAAGGAACCTATTAATACATTTTCCCAAAGAGCCTGACTGAAACCCAGGAAGCTGGGACTTATGGCCAGCTGTCCAAAGGGTCATTTCTGGAGCTACTGTTTAAAGTGCACGCACTTGGTCTCAGCAGGCACTGTGCAAAACACAATTAAGTGCAAGTTACAGCACCTACTACATGTGGGGCACATCTGCTGAGCTCTTGGAGTACATTTCAAAACAAGCAAACCAGAATCTAGTGAAGGCTGACTCCAGACTTAGTACCTGGTGCCCTGGGGGACACTGTGCCCAAATGACCACTCATCTTAACACTGTTTTCTGCTTTCAATCCGGAAACTGCCATTGCCTATGTATAGGGACAATTACCTTTTATGGGGTCTTTCTGCCTCTCCTGTCAGGATCCTAACGAGTTTCTCCTCCACACTGCCACCTGTCTTTCCAAGGGAAAAGTTTCCCTTCATGCACAGAGTTTCATCCATTCTGTCCCTCTAATGTCATCCACTTCTCTTCACTGGTGCCTGTCACTTGTGGGCTCTTGGGTCTGCTAAACCAAATGACTCTCAGGACTCAGTTCTCCCAGGGTTCTCACACCTTCATGCCTTTACCCGTGCCATTCCCTCTTCCTGGGATGCCCTCCTCAGACCCTTTCCTATTGGCCTGGTGAACTCATGATCACGGGTTGGACTAATATGTAGAAATACTTTCTCCCATTTTTCAAAAATACATGAATGTCATTTAAAAGTGCTAATCCATCGTTCTTGTTCCCCTTTTCCTATAAAATCTTCCTTTTATTTTTTATTTTGTGAGCTGGCCTGATTACGTATAAGACTTCAACAGAAGGGATGGTCGCTCTTTGTGTTTCTTTTCTGGCCATTGTCATTTGTTTCATCTCATGGTTACTGCTGAAACCAGTTGTGTTGCCTAGCATAGGAGGGGATGCTAAACCCCAGTCCTCTCCAAGTGCCAACCAAATACTCTATGCCTTCTGGGACAAGCCACTTCAAGGCCCAGGAGGGTTCCTGAGTTTCAACCTAAATTTCCTGGGTAGGATAATTATCACTTCTTGCTTGGATTTTTGTGCAAGTCTCCTAACTGCTCTCCCTGGATCCCTTCTCTGCTTCCTTCCCCACCTGACCTTCTCCTCTCATCATCCACATAACTTCCGGAAGGATCTTTCTAAAATAAAATCTGATTATCTCAGTCCTCTGTTAAAAAGGAGTCCCCAGCCCATTAGGTAGGACACAGAAACCAATGGTCAAGAGTATGACAACCTAGGTTTGATTTCCAGATTTATTATTTATTTGTTATGTGACCTTGGTTAAGTTACTTAACCTCTTTGTGCCCCAGTTTTCATATTTGTAAAATGAGGTAGTAACAATATACGTAGTGGGACTTCTGTATCTGTGGGATCCACATTCAGGGATACAAGAAGCATAGATGAAAAATATTTTAAAAACTGTACTGAACATGTACAGACTTTTTATTGCTATTGTGCCTTAAACATACAGTACAACAACTATTTATGTAGCATTAACATTGTTTTAGGCATTTATGAGTAATCTGTAGATGATTTTAAGTATACAGAATCATGTGCATGGATTATATGCAAATACTACACCATTTTCTATAAAGGACTTGAACATCCATGGGTTTTGGTATCCAAGGGAGGTCCTGGAACCAATCCCCCACTAATGCTAGGTATGACTGTACTTATTTTGTAGAGTTATTGTGAGGATTAAATGACTTAATACATGTAAAGTGCTCATACCAGTGCCTGATGCAGAATAAGTGGTTTCAATGATTATATAAGATAAAATCCTCAATCCTTATGTAGGCTGCTGTCCTAGCCCATCCTGGAGCTGACTTCTGCTAATTCCTCTAGTCTTGTCTATTCCCACACTGTAGACAAACCTTAGGACTTGTTCCCCAAGCGCATTCTGTCCCTAGCTCCATGCCTTTGCACCTGCTGTTTCCTCTCCTTCCAGATTTTTCCTTCTTCCTCTCCTGGGCCACACAACAAATGTGTACTCATTTTTCACAACATTCAAGGTCACTCCTCCTGAACCTCCCACCCCCAACCTGTGCCACCATGCTGGCAGGGTTGATCTTATACCTTCTCCTATCATATTTCAAGGCATTTTATTGTATTTATTTGTTTCTAGGTTTGCATTTCATCCTGTGTGGTTACCTCCTTGAGGACAGGAACTGTTTTTTAATCTTTATATCTCCAGTTCTCACTACAATTACATGACACAGATCAGGCACTAATGAATGTTTCTTGAGTGACTGCATGTCCCTCCTGGTTTCAAGATTCCTTAGTGTCATCTTGTCTCCTAGTAGCATAACTAGACTAATGACAGTCTGCAAGGAGGAAATTCAAGTTTAAAATAACCTGAAAATAGACTGAGAGTCAACTCCTGCATATACCTTCTTTCCTAGCCCCAAGCACTTGACTTTGGAAATCTGATCTGGGAAAGGTATGATTATTATTAACAAAACACTATAGATATTGGAATAGTAATAGTTTCTTTTACAACTTTCATGAATGCATAAGGCTTAGGGTTCAGTAGTTCAGCAGGATCTTTAAAATGAAATAAACGTGTTTGCTTGAATGAAATATTTATATTTCTTAGTAACATGACTTTAAAATATTCTAAATTAAATTTCTTGAGATCTATATACATACTTCCCCTTTGCTTTTTCTTTAATCTAAATGGGTGAGAAGCTACAGAAATAAAATAATGCATAATAATAAGAAAAGCATAGGAAACTTTTCTTAGTTGGAGAAATATTTTTCTTCTATGTGAATAACTCAAAATTCCTTGCATGTTACAAAAGAAAAAAGGCTGCATTGGAATCTGTGGTCTCCAAGGACCCTGCACAGTTTGTTTCCTAATACCTGATAAGAAAATTCTAGTTGATTGTCAGTAAAGGAAGGTATATTACTTCTTAAAATCCAACTTTTTAAGCCATTGTATTTCTGAATGTTTGGATAGTTGCTATTTATAATTACACTTACTAAAAGTAAACTAGAAAAAAAATCAAATTTTGAAGAAACTCTTCCTATATGTCTACAGACAAGTATATTCATAAAATACATCTGCTAATACTCTGACTTAAGAAGGTTTTAGCTCCAGGGTGCCTTGACAAATTATTCCCTTCAAGCTGTTTGGTAAATATGTTTCCCAAAAGCTATAGAACAAATGTAGTAGATCCAGACCAAAAAACAAATAACCCACAACAGACAAACAAACAAACAAAAAAACCACACGTCCATAGTTAAAAGCAATACCTTTTCGGGAATGCTGATGATTTCTTTGCATAGCTGTTAGCTTATAATTTACAACTTTTAAATTCTACCTAAAATCGATAAAAAATTTTATCTCCAAGACACTGAGGTATAAAATAAAGTTGATCGAAATGTAGAAACACATTGAATCTGTACTTATCTGCAACTTCTTCCCAAGGAAAAGATAGAATCTTCCACTCACCATCTCTTCCCCTCCTCAAGTACCCAAGTACCATTACCCATATAATAATGCAAGCAAACTTCTTCTCCTCTTCCTCCTCCTCCTCCTCCTCCTCCTTCTCCTCCTCCTCCTCCTCTGTCTTCTTCTTTCTTCTTCTTCCTCCTCCTCTTCTACTTCTTTCTTCTTCAGACAGGGTCTCACTCTGTCACCCAAGTTGAAGTGCAGTAGTGTGATGATGGTTCAACCTCCCCTGGCTCAAGAGAGCCTCTCACCTCAGCCTGCTGAGTAGCTGGGAGTGCAGGCAGGAGCCACCACACCTGGCTAACTTTCGATAG